ATTGAGTACACTATATATATTTAAGTTTGATATTAGAGTAATTTCTTCACTTTCATTACAGGGGGAGCTGTCGGAAACAGAGTTCGCCTGAATGTTATGAATCTGAACAAGCAGTCAAAGCTCTTCTCACAGGGGATGCAACCTGTGGTTCAATGTGTCTCAGGCTTGCGTTCACCACGTTGGGAACGCATTAAGGATAAATGCACATATCGGGTGTGTAATAGTGCAGAGATTGTATAAATTGTGGATAGATCTTGTTCATAAAAGAAATGTGATGTAAGTGTGTATGATTTTTTTGTGGTAACAGGAATATTAGTGTATGTATGGCATAATTAATTGTTGATACTGTACCATTTCAGAGTGAGGAGAACAGTACAGTGGTATCTTGGGTTCATACTGTGAGTGAAGTGGGAGTATTCACCCACTATGCCTTCACATACCCATTCACTTACTCAGAGCTACAAAACATGCTAGAAAGTCTTGACCATAAATTCTCAGTGAGTTCTCCAAGTCTTTACTACCATCGAGAATTACTCATAAAATCGCTTGATGGCTGGCGTGTTGACCTTGTGACTGTCAGCTCGCACAATGGTAAGGTAGAAGAGCGTGAGGCAAGGCTTCCAGGTCTCTTCCCCAATGTTAATGAGCCTCGTCCCCACCGCTTTCCTAGCAAGAAAGTTGTCTTTGTTTCTGCCAGAGTACACCCTGGTGAGACATCCTCCAGTTTTGTGTTAAATGGCTTCCTGAATTTCATTGTCTCAAATGACCCTAGGGCTGTGAAGCTCAGGGACATGTTCGTCTTCAAGCTCATCCCAATTCTCAACCCAGATGGTGTAGTACGTGGCCATTATCGCACTGACCAGCGTGGGGTAAATCTGAATCGCGTGTATGTGGATCCATCACCACACTTACATCCAACCATTTATGCTACCAGGCAAGTCATCCTGTACCACCATCATGGCCACATCCTTCCGAACTCATTCCAGGATTCCAAAGCTACTCCAGCAAACTCAGATGATTTAAGTGAAACAGCTCCCACCACAAGCACCACATCTTCTAATGATGACTCAGAATTGGCTGTCACCAATTCTTCAAAGGGGCCACCAGTTGTTATGGATGAAGACACCTGCCACAGCTTCAGTGATGTTCAGTGTGGGAAGGCTGGAGGCTCAGGGAGTGGACGGATGAGAGGAACTGCTTTAATGGAGATGGATGAGCCATCAGCATCAGGCTGGGACATTTCCAGCAATGTCTCAGTTGATGGCACACAAGCTTCTAGTTCGTTCCAAAGAGCCTCACACATGGCTGATGTCCATGATGACTGCTCAAATGTTTCTTGCATCAGTGAAGCTGAAACAGGTGTCACTAGCATGTTTGGATCACTAGCAGCTGTTAGCGATTTTACAAACATTATATCAGGAAATAAGGGATGTAATCAGGATAGTGCCATTCGTTCACCCTGTATTTCACAAACTAAGAGTGAGGGGGAGGGAGTGAGCACCTCAAGTTGTGAAAAATCCCGGGACCTATTTTTAAAGGACCTCTACAAAGAAGAGAAAGACAAAGCTTTTGATGACTGCCACTGTGATGAAAAAATTTTGAAAAATACAGCACCAAATAGTGATAAAGATCTTAGTAGTTTTAGTTGCATTAATCCCAGTAGACTAATCTCAAAGGACGATAATCTCCTGCCTAGTTGTTCCAATGCATTATCATTCACCTCAGCATCTTCAGAGGTGTCTAGTCAGCAGCAGTTCAAGGCAGAAGCTTTAGGTAGTGGCGTTAGTTCTAGTACCTCCTTACAAAGCACAAAGGCAAACAGAGGGTCACACAAAGAAAGCAAAGATGGGAATTTGCTGCATCCTATCCCACCACAAAAGAGTAGTGTCCTGCCTCTCACTCCTGGAGTACAAAATATTGCTGGAACAAAGGAGGGAGGGGGGATAGCTAGCAGTAGTGAGAGCGAGGCAGAGTGTGGACGGCCTGGGAGGGAGATGGATACAAATCTAGGAACATTAGATACCTCTCTTCGCATTCCTTCTGAGGGCTTCTCACAGGTACTGAGTCCTCCCACACCCATTCCTGAGGAGACCCAGGTGTCCTCGGGGCTCTTCCTTTACATAGATCTCCACGGGCATGCATCTAAAAGGGGTGAGTAATGATTAAATTTGAATAATGCTATAATCAATACCATGTTAGTAATGATTGATATCATACTGATAATGATTATTCCAACATTTTATACAAGTAATATATGAGAAGGCTTACAACACATTTACAGACTGTTTGGATAGAGAATCCATGCATGCCATTTATTCACCTTGATTTCATTGTTGGGTATATAGTAAATCTTGTGACCTTACCTGATTTGAATTGGTGGAAAAAAAAAATTTACTAGTGCTATGAATATCGATGGTGTTATTTTTATTATAAACATTATAATTATTGTAATGTTTTAAACATTAGTAACAGCAAAATAAGATAACATAAAATATTTTAGTAAATCAAAGAAAAGGGTAAACAGGCGAGACAAGCAGTACTCATAACTGGCTCATTGGTGACTTAGTACAAGTGTAGCCAATTATGTGTAAAAACAATCAAACAGGTAACTCACAGTGGGCATAGTACGTACGTACACGTCATGCCTGTTGACATTGGGTTAAGGATTTTATCATCATTAACCAAAATACAACACACTAGTGTGTGTGTGTGTGTGTGTGTGTGTGCAGATTGGATGAAACCTGGTAAAAGTTGTCACAAAAATAGTATCCAAGTATCTATATTAAGAATATCCAAAGTAGAATGGCTTGAGCCATGATGATAATGCATTTTTCTATGAGCACATGAATCTATGAACTTAGCAGTCATTTAGGAGTGAACATGTATGTTATCAAGGTATAGGTGAGTTTTTTTTATCATTAATTGATAACTTCCTGTGGCAGGCATTTTCATCTATGGCAACTGGTATGAGGACCCTGCAGTCATGGTAGAAAACATGCTGTTTCCCAAGTTGCTTGGGGCCAATTGCCCCAACTTTGATTTTGCTGCTTGTAACTTCTCAGAGAGGAACATGTATCTCAAGTGAGTGGCACTATAAATGTCAAGTTGGCTGATTTGTTGTAGAATTTTGTCGAGAGAATCAAGTCGGAAGGGATGTAACATAGAATCAAATTTCTGATTCATGTCAAAGTTATTTGCATAGTGGACTTAGAAAAGCAGTATCTTTTTGTGTACTTTATATGTGTGGACTTTGAAAATACTTTTTGCTAATCATTTTTTAAATCTCTGATTCATATTTTTGTTATTCTTTTCATTTTGTAAGTGAGAAAGAAATCTCTTCCAGATTCACATTTATGATTAATATTTTTGTCTTTACTTAGGGACCGGAGGGATGGTATGAGCAAGGAAGGATCAGGTCGTGTAGCCATAATGCGAGCAACCGGGCTTCTGAGATCATATACATTGGAATGTAACTACAATACAGGTCGTACATACAATCCTGTTCCGCCATCTCCCCTAGACCAGAGGAAGTCACCTCAGACTCCACTCTCCTCGCCACCAAAGTACACTCCTGCAATCTTTGAAGATGTAAGCCTAGCAGAATCTATTCAAACAGAATGATGATTATTCTGAAACTCCAAATAATGGGGCGAAGAATCAAGACAGTCTTATTTTGGGGATGTAATTATGTATTTAGTTTTATATTTTCTTCCCTTTTTTCTCATTTATAATGCTATTGTTTACTTTCAGTGTGGTCGTCAGTTAGGGGTGAGTTTGCTGGACTTAGTATGTAGTGGAAGTGGATGGTCAAGGCTTCCTCAATCCCAGTATGGGAGCATAGCAGGTGTCCGTGCATGGCTCCACCATTTTCTTGCTTCTTCATCTCTCTCGCCTCGCACAAACACCACTGGAACCCATGCTGCCCGCACACCTGCATCACGTTCAACAAACAAGTTGACAGTGGAGAGGCTAAGTGGAGGAAGGAGTGGAGGCAGTGGTGCTCGTATTGGGGCTGGTAGACAAGGCCCCCCAAGCACTCCAGCTTCTCCACGACTACCACGAAGTCGTTGTCAGCGTGTGCGGCGACACTCCTGGTGCCTTACAGTAGATGCTGAAAATCAAGAGCCAAGAGAAATATCAGAAGGACCTGCCCGTCCACGACCTGCAAGTGCAAAGAAACCTGTAAGTTCAAGTGGACTTTCCCCCCGGTGCAAACCTAAAGCTTCCAAGGTCAAGTCACCATCTCCCAAGAAGGCTGGGGTTGCACGTTCTCTCACTTTCACAGAACTTGGAGAGAGCAGTCATCTTGGAGGAGAGTCCAAGATTCCCAGCAGCAAGATGAGTTCCAGCAAGCATAGTCTCACTGCATCAGTCAGCCTCACACCCAACCTCAATGTCAAGCTCTCCATCTCAGACACCCCAGAAAGTCCCACTCTGGTGAAAAAGGTTGAAAAGACTCGTAGACAAAGAAGTAAAGGTCTTAATTCAGGAACAAAAAAGTTGAAGATCAGTCCTAGTTCAAGCCCAAGTCCTGAGGAGTCAACACTGAAAGCCAAGGACCCAACATATTACAGTTTTCCAAGCCTAGAGCCAGCAGAGCGCAAGTGTAGCCCTCTTTCGCCTTCTCAGGAAGGATTTTATGGTGCAAGTCAAAGTCCATTGTCACCACGCTCACCTCTCTCTTCAGTGTGTGAACCTCAGACAAGCCATAGTTCTCCTGGTCTAAGTATAATCACTAACACAGGTCCTTGTGACTTGCATGTTCAGCCTAAATCTCCTGTGGTGGTGAGTTCCTCAAAGAAGGTGACTAAAGTAATGTCCTCCCCTAGCAAGCGCTCCAGCAAGCACACACTCAAATCTCTTTCAAAGAGCATGGACCGATTGCCTGCTGTTGCTGGTGCTGCTGGAGAAAGGTTAAAGCTTCTTCCAAAGAAAGTAAAGAAGAAGGTGACAGCTGGCAGTGTTACTGACCTACCTGGATCGATCATCTCTCCTTCTAT